GTCATAATTTTGGCCTCACCATCTCCCCCTGGATCCCTATGGCAGCCTCCTCACCTTCCTGCCCTGTAGCCCCAATCCACTCTCCACACTGTAGCAGCTAGTTTGCTCTCTAAAACACTTTGTTTTTTTTTAAATTTATGTATTTATTTATTTCAGCATATTATGGGGGTACAAATGTTAAGGTTATGTATATTGCCCATGCCTCCCCTCCCCTCTCAAGTCAGAGCTTTAAGTGTGACCATCCCCTAGACAGTGCACATCTCACTCATTATGTATGTATGCACCCATCTCCTCCTTCCCCCAAAACACTTTGATATTTCACATCACTCCCCCCTTGGAGCCTTCAGGGACTCTCCATCACCCTGAAGATAAAGCCCAAGCTCCTTGGCCGGGTGTGCAGGCCTTCCGGTCTGGCCCTCACTCACCTCTGAACCTTATCCCTCACACTCTTTGCCTTGAACTTCACACTCCAGTGATCATCCCTACACCTCTTCTCACCTCCATGCCTTGGCTTGTGCCTTCCTCCACCTGGAATGTCCTTCCCACTTCTCTCCTAGCCAACTATTCTTCAAGATTCTACACAGGCATCACCTCTTCTTTGGAGCTCTGCCTGTATATGTGGCTGTAGCCCTCATGGGGTTGGAGGTTCCACACCTAGTGACCATATGTGTTATATTGTGGATGATCATTAGCTGTTTGTTGAATACTGAGCCCATTGAGGGCCAAATTTCAAGCCTAGACTATCTTCTCTGTGTCTTGGAACACCTGGGGCCCGCTGCACAGACCCTGCAAAGGGAAGAGATGGGCTGTTCCTTTGAGAATGCTGCCACCTTGTGGCCACATCCAGAAGTGCATGTAGCCCTAGACCTTTCCCAGAGCAAGGACCAATGTGGAAACTGGTCCAGACAAGTAGCAGGGAGTGGGGAGGTAGGCCCCAAGGGAGTGCTCAGAGGCTAGCACTGGTGTCCTTAGAACACTCTTGATAAGTTCCAAGCAGACAGAATGGCAAGAGCAAAGGCTCAGAGGCAGAAAATATGGTGCTTGGGAAGGTAAGGCATTAGTATGGTCAGAGCCCGGGATCCAAGGGGACCAGGCCAAAGACGGACTGAATCATGGGCAGCAGCCAACCAAGGGGGTCCTTTAAGCCCACCTGGTGAATGGACTTAGATCTCATCCTCTAATCTGGGCAGAGAGGCTAAAGGAGCAGAGGAATGATGGGGTCAGATCTGGGTGTGGCCACACACTTGGAGGCTCAATATGCATTCATTTACTCATTAAATATTTATTGAGCTCCTACTATGTGCCAAGTGAATGTTCAAGATCCTCAGGTTACATTCAAAACAAAGATTCCTGCCCTTTTGGAGCTTACATTTCATCAGGCAGAGACAATCAGCAAAAATGTTAATTTAAAGAATAAATAATATCGAGGTTAAAAAAATACATGGGGGGAAAAAGACAGGGTGAGATCAAAAGTGCTTGGCTGCAATTTTAAATGGAGTGGACAGAGTAGGCTTCATCCAGGTGACATCTGAGCAAAGACATAAAGGAGGGAAGGAGATAACCATGTAACTATCTAGGGGAAGAACATTCTAAACAAAGGGAACAGCCAGTGGCTTGGTTTGGAGGACAGCTTGAAGGGGAGTGAAGCAGGGAGACCAGGAGAGACTTGCAAGATAATGAAGAGCTCAAAGCAACACAGGCCGTGGGGCTGGAGAGAGACCTAGGAGGCAAAACTGATGAGACTTGATGCCTGCTTGGACATGGATGGCACGTAACTCCACCAGGCATATTGTGTTCTTACGTCCCCATTTCAAGGGTACAAACATGAGGTGGCTTATACATGCCACCTCTAAGGCAGAGAGTGAGAATCCTCAACACATCTGTCCTGGATCTCTCCACTGCCCACCTGGATGCTCGCTCACCCCGATCTTTCCCCCTCCCCTGCTTCTTAACTCACCAACTTCATCTTCAGTGACTCCAGACACCCCAGCTATCCACTCTCATGCCCACAAACAAATCCTATCAGCTCCTAAAACTCTCAAACCCATTAACTACTCCTTCCAATCCTTTAGCTATTGTTATCGGCTAAATTGTGTCCTTTCCCCACCCAGCCTCCCAAAAGAGATATACTGACATCCCAACCCCCAGTACCTCAGAATGCGACCTTATTTGGAAATAGGGTTTTTACAGAAGTAATCAAGTAAAAATTAGGTCAATAGGGTGGGCTGTTATCTAGTATAACTGATGTCCTTATATAAACGAGAAATCTAGATGCAGAGATACACACAAAGAAAAGATGTTATGAAGACAGAGGATTGGAGTGATGCATCTGTAAGCCAAGAATGCCAAAGATTGCTGGCAAACCACCAGAAGAGGCAAGAAAGTATTTCCCTGCAAGTTTCAGAAAGAGAATGTCCCTGCCAACACCTTGATTTTAGACTTCTAGCTGCTAGAACTGTGAGACATTAAATTCTGCTATTCTAAGCCACTCAGTTTGTGGTACTTGGTTATGGCAGCACTAGGGAACTAATACAGCTATAATGTTGCCATCCTTCTAGAGTATTCCACCTTATCCCACCCCAGCCATCTTCACGGGAACCTCCTGGCCACTGGCCCCTTTTTCTCTTCACTTCCCTCCTGACTCAGTTTGGATCCTTTCATCCTTCACACGTGTACTCTCTTGCTAGTCTCCTCACTAATCTTCCATCATTCTTGCCCATCAGTCTGGAAGTATGCAACATTGCTTTTTCTGATGCTGTTAGAGCTCACACACCTTGACTATGATGCTGCAAGTTCATGGTCACCAGTCCAAATCGGGGTTTTAGTCCTGCCTGGTCATCTTCCTGTACCTCCCTAGTCACCTCTCTCAGTAGCAATGACTATCTCACACTTCCTTCCCACCAGCTTCCTCATCCCAGTCTCAGCTGCAAAGCTGGACTCCTGCCTCAAGGAAATAGAGGCTTTCAGAACTTCCTGATGTCCATCTTCCCCTCCATACCTATCTGCATACACACCCACCCTCAACTCCTCCCCTCCCCTTTGGGAGGCCCTACATCCATCCTTCTGAATCCCCTCGGGAACTTCATGCTGTGAATATCCACAATCTCAAACATCTTTAATCTCTTTCTTTACTGTCTCCCTCCATCAGCCTATAAACATGCTCAAGCTCATGCTAGTATATTAAAAAACAACAAAAAACCATCTCTGTACTCCACATTCCTCTCTATCTATCGCCTCTCCACCCATTCACAATTCAATTTCTTGAAAGAGCTGTCTCCACTTCCTTATCTTTTGTGCCAAGGCATAATTTAAAAAATTACAGAGGCAGAAGCCATGTTGCAATGGATTAAGGAGAAAGTGGAAAGTAAGGAATTATATACAATTCTTGTGTTCCTTCCTAAGCTTGGTCAGACTCACTCCACTCCAAAGGGCCCGCCTCTCTCTGGTCCCCTGCCTGCCATTCCTTCTGCAGGCCCCTAAAAGGGGAGGGAAAATGCTCCCCCAGGGACTCTAGGGCTTGCGGTGCCACCTTCAGCACAGGTTACCATGCGTATTCCATGTGATCCCTCCTCCACCCTGGCCATGAGCAGATGGGATGCTGAGCCAAAGATCAACAGCCTGCAAGGTAGCCTGACCCTAGAGCTCTGGAGGCTCAGTGATATAGAATTGCTGATGGCAGAAGACAAACAAGTGAAGATGTTCAGAGAAAAAGCATTATGCAGAAGCGGAAAGGGAGCAAAAATCCTGAATTATCTGCAAGGTGAATGGGTGAGAAGTCAGTCAGTTGCTGGCAGCAAGACACCTGAGTCACCACAGTAGCCTTTAGGGGTGTGTTATATGTGACCCTCCACATTAGAGGAGCCTGGCGTCTACAGCCACTGAGGGTTCACCTCTCCTAGCACCTCCTTAGGCCTCATTACCTGCCCCTCCCCAAGAGCCTTCCATGTCACTCAGGGGTGACCTACCTTGGAAAGCAAAGGATGTAGCTTAAAGTTTTGACCACTGCCTGCGGGTCCTGTGGTCACCTCACCCCTCCTCTAAGCCCTTATCGAGGCCTCAAGTCCCCCAACTCCCTCTCTCCCAATATCTCAATCCCTCCTGGTCTCAGTCCAGTATCGCTTCAATACCCTCAAACTGCTGGGCCCAGCCTGCTACAATGTAAGCCCAGAAGAGCCCCAACCTTCTGCTTTCCTCATGACTGGACACCCAGGCTGTTGGAAACATTGGAGACAATCTCGAGATCCATGGGAGACCCAACTGATTCAACTCTTGAATCTATCACTGTCTATATCCTGCTCTAGTTCCTGTAGCCCCCGGCTACGGATGCAACCCTCACCTCTCTCCTAACCTCTCTCCTCAAGGTCCTAACCTACCATGGTGAATGTGAGAGTTTGAGGCCAAAGTGAGGCGGAAAGGGAGCAAGGGGTAAAAAGGCAAGGATGAGACCTAGAGAGAGATTTTTTTTTAATTTGTTGTATGTTGCTAGAGGTATATTTTTAAGGTAGGAAAAAGCACGTTTATAAACTGAGTCATTAATATTATAACAATAGCAATGAACATTTATATAGCACTATGTATCCAGGTGGTATCTGAGCATCATATATGTACATTTCTTTCTTTAATCCTCATAACAACCCTATGAGGTAAACACTATTGTGTCCCTGTTTTATGGGTGAGACCACCAAGGCACAGAGCAGTAACCTGCTAGTAAGTGACAGACTAGGATTCAAACCCAGGCTGGCTGGTGCCTAAGTCCAAATGCTGCAGATAGAGAAAAACATACGACCTGGCAGTCCCTAAGCCAGCCCAAAGCAGGTACAAAACAGCCACTCAGGGGCCTAGATACATTCAGGTTACCGATTGAGGTTTCTTACCAACACTAGATCCTCCCAGCACCAGCCTGAGCCTACCCTTCCTGTCTCTAGCCCATGAGCTCCCAGGAGGCAAGGGCAGGGACTCCCATTCCTTTAATCCCACTTCCACATAGCAGGCCGAGCACCTCATCAGACAAATGGGCTTTATTTCCTAACTCCCTCCTTGGAACCTCTGTCAGAAGGCAGGTCAGACAAACTGTAGGTAAAAAGCAGAGTAACCCCTTCTTATGCAACGCAGAACTTGACACACCTGTCACCCCCCATAGCAGCCCCTTCCCACATGCCAGAAGGAAGGAGAAGGACTGGAAGGCCCACTTCTGTGGACTCCAGCTTTGATGGGGACATTGAACAGTCCAGGGCTTCTCAGAGAAGGCACCACCATCCTAGACATTCAGGCCTGGAGAACAGCCTGGCTCAGCAGGTCTTCAGGACCGGGTGTCTCGAGCCCTTCTTCGTGGCCGGGTGCCACAGCTGGAGCTTGGCACAGAGCCCAGGCCAGGGGGTGCCCCTGGGGGTTGGTAGCCACACTCATTGGGGTCCAGGGGGTCCCGGCTGAGCAGTACCCACACTGCAGGCACATGGCGGCGCACTGTGAGGGGGTCTAGGCCTGTGTCAGGTGCGGTTGGGACCCAGCTGTCCTCAGTCTGCAGGAAACGTAGCTTGGTGAGCTGGTGCAGGCCTGGGACCCGCCGCTTGACAATCTCAGCACAGCTGACAGCTTTTCCTGCAGCCCTGCCAGAACCTGAGAACACCACATGCCGGGCACTGCCGCTCTCCAACCGACCCAGCGCCAGCCCCAGCAGGTTGCGGATTTTGCTGCCATCTCGGACCCGCATCTCGAGAGTATCAGGAGGTAGCTGAGGCATTGGGGAAGGTGCTGGGAGCTCTACAGAGCCAGCTTTCCGGTAATGCTCCATCCCGCTCGCTGTCTTGTCTGTGTTTGGCTGCCCACTGCAGAGAAGTATCAGATGAGTGCTAGGCAATGTGCCCACCATCCCCTCCACCTCCCTTCAGGATATAGCCCTGCTCCTCAACCCAGACTTCCCAGGAACAGAACCATATCCCCTCATCCTCGCTTCTCACAAGAGGGGCCATGCCTGCCTCACTCTGAGAAGGGGCTGCACCTCACATACACCATTCCTCTAGACAGCCCCCACTTCCAACCCTGGAGTCCCTGGGACAGGACCAAATTCCCTAAACACTGAGCTCTTTGGGACAGGGACAGGCCCTCTCATCCCAAGCTCCCGAGGACTGGGACCAAGCCCTCCTTATTCTGGGCTTCTTGGGACAGGACCCAGATCCGTCAACTCTGAGTAAGAACAAGACTGCGCGCTCCTCACTTAGGGCTCTCCAAGGAGAGGGACAAGGCCCTCTCACTTTGTGCTCCCAGAGGACAGGCCAAGTCCCTTCGCCCCAGGCTCCCCGGGAAACAGCCAAGAGCCCTTCACTAGTGGTGCCCAAAGCAGAACCGAGCCCCGCGCCGATCCCAGAGATTACCAGGGTCGATCCACGTCAACCCCGGACACTCAGAAAGTCGGGAGAAGAGGCTGCTTGGGCGGGCCCTGGCCAGCCTAGGCCGTCTCCATCGCTACGGGATGTTTCCAGAGTGCGGCCAAGAAGCAGGCGTCCCGTCTCCCACCGCCTCCGGGAGCCCCGACCCCGCCGGGTTCCACTCTCACCGCGGCGGCCCCACGCTCGATCCGAAGCCAAGATGGCGCGCGGGCCGGGAGCGCGCCGAGGCCGCGGGGCCGCGCACGCCGCACGGGGGCGGGGCCTGAGGAAACGGTCCGCGCGGTCCCTCCGCCGGGGAAACTGAGGTCGGGCTCCGGAGCGAGCGGAGCTGGGACGTGGGGACTGGGAACATATGCGCGTACTCTGCGCTGTTACGACGAGGGCAGGACACTCCTAATGGGGCGGAGGGACCCTGCGGAGGAGAGGAGTCCCACGTCCGAAGGGTGGTGGACGTGGCCCTTAGAGGATGAGAGAGAGGGCCGGCGACCTGTTGAGCAAAGGTTTCACCGTGGTTGCCCGGGGTTCAGTTTGGAGTGGCTGCTGCTGCGCGGGAGAGAGCCTTCGATACCGAGTGCTGAGCTTCGACCTCATCCTGTGGGCACCGGCGAACCAGACCTTGTGCACAGCTCACCCTGGCCGCAGGGGAGGCAGTGGTGGGGGAAGTTGGGCAGTAGCCTCTGGTGACTCCTGGCCACGGAGGCTGTGTGTGTGTGTCCGTCCCCACGGAGCCTAGTGTGGTGCCCAAAGCTCAAATATTTGTTAAATCCTTTGTTGAATTAATGAACAACAGAAATGGCAGTGGGAATAGAGATTAAGTTAGGAGATACTAGTTCGGTGAAGAGTTGGCGACTGTTTGGATAGAGTAGAGAATTCCGAGTCTAGGATGACTCCCAGGCTTCAGACCATTTTTAGACATGCTGAATTTGAGGTGCCAGTGAGACCGCCCAGGTCGGGGTGACCAGCAAGCAGTGGGAAAGTAGTCGGGAGCCGCAGCATCCCCGAGACCACAAGGGGGCAGCAAACACTTGGTAGAGAGCGGTGCCAATCTTTTTCTCCCAGCTTTCTGATCATGTTCGCCCTGCCCCTCCTTCCCAATGTCCCTTCCCCAGAAGCTAAAACTTGCTGTATCCAAACCTCTTGGGCTCCTCAGCTAGTGGCACCAGGTAGGCTCCTAAGAGAGAAATTTCAAGGATCCTCTCTACCTTTACGTACCCTGCTCCTTTGGCTCTGAAAGTACCTACATATCACCCACTATGGCTGCCTCCCCCTTCAGTCTCTTTTTCTTCCTTGCCCAAAAGGAACCTTGGTGGGACTGCCCTTTTCCTGTGCAGGGCAGGGATTAGGTAAGCCCTACCTGTGTCCTCCCACCTGTCATGGCATTTGACATTTGGAGGGTATTTGGTAAATGTGGGATAAATGGATGCATAAAGGAATGTGTCATTCACATAAATCAAATGAAAGCCTTAGTCGTGAGAGTCCCAGGATGAGTATAGTTCCCAGTCCAACTACTACCCAGGTTGACAGCTCTGCCCTCCATTAACCCCTCTTAGACCAGAAAGCCAGCACACGCCTCCAGTGATCTCTATGGTTTATTGTCACTGGAATAAGAACACTGATGGGGAAATGGGGTACAAATTGCAGATCTCAGGTAACCTGACCTCTGACCTCAGAGCCATACCTGAGAGCAGACAGGTGGGCCTTGAATCCAATAAATACAAAGATGCCTCTGCCTTGTTACAAAGGCAGGTTGGCACGTAGCCCTAGAGCCTGGCTACCGTGGTCCATTAGTGGATGTGAAGCAGCTGTCACTCCTCGGATGGCTTCACTTGCTTGGCAGCCTCTAGCTGGCAAAGTAGCTCATCCCACTGCACAAACTGCTTGGAGAGAAGCAATGTCTGGTTGCAAGTCAAGGTGAGAACAGGAGTATAAGTGAAGAAGTAGGGAGATTTTGCAACTACCAAAAGGAGTGGGGATAGGGGAGTAGGGGAATAGACAGGGTGGTTGGGAGTGGGTAAGAGAGAACTAGAGGTGGGACAAAAGGACAGGGCTTGAGAACAACACCCATTAGGGGCCTAGATAAGCAGAAAGGATACAGTCTTGTTGTATTCCTCCAGGAGAGCCTTGGACTCCTCGGTAATCTCCACACACTGGTCCTGTAGGGCCAAAGTGTGGCAGAGAAAGGAGCTAGGCAAAGCCCTCATCTTCCACTAACCCTTCCTGCCTCAATCAGGGACCACTCACTCCCCACAGAGCCTAGAAAATGTGACGCTTAACTCCAGAGCCAAAGGAGCAAATGGCTAAGGGGGTACTTTCAGGCTCAAGGATGGGTCCCCCACCAGCAGTCCAAAGATTGATGGAAGGGGAGTGACCATAGGTTAAGTAAGCATTCCCCCTAGTATATGTCTCCTCCTCTGCTGGGCCTGGGAATAGTGAAAGAGCTCCCCCACAGCCAAGGACACACCATCCCCTGGAATTCTTGGGTACCTCCTAATCTCAGCCTTCTAGTGTCCCAGAATATCTCTACTCTGGGAGGCAGGAGGCCTGGATGTGGCCCTAGGCAAGTCCTTCCTCTCTCTAGGCCATATGGAAGATAAAAAATAGACCCCATAGTTTCCTCTAAGCTGACATCAGAAGGGCTTGAGGCTGCTTCTCAGGTAGCATGAGTGGGGATGAGGTGCTACACCACCTCTGCCTTCCCTTCCCTTCCTTTCCCATCCTCTCCCTTCCCATACCTGCTGCTGGATGTGGATCTGGGCCAAGTGCTGCAGGCGGGCGGCATGCTCAGGAACGGCTGTAAAACACAACACACACTGCCCAATGACGCTTTTGCCCTCCCCCGGGACTGCTCAATAGTCTATTATGTCTTCGGCAGGATTAGAGTATTGAGTGGAGAAGCTAAACAAACGCCAGGCTTCATCGACCACTGCAGCTGGAGGTGGTGGTGGGGCTCCCTGCCCACTCTAGTGTTACTCCAGGACCCATGGGGAGGGGAGGATACAGGTTCTGAGGAGAAGATAAAACCTTGGCATCCCCAGTGTTGCCCCCTACCCCTACTCCAGTGCTATGAGCAGGGCAAAGGGTAAAGAGAGCTGTGGATATCATGAGACCTGTCCCTTTGCTCTTAGCCTAGCAGGGCCAGGTCTGCCTGGCCTAGGGAATGGGGAGCCTGTAGGTGGGCTGAGGATGAATGCCAGGTTCTTAAGCTGGCCACCTGGAATCCAACACCCAGAGCCACGGCTATGCTGGGCCCACAGCTTAAGGCTGTCAGATACTCAGTGAGTAGCTGATCAGGGGCAGGGAGGGGGTGCTGGGAAAAATACCTCCAGAGACAGACAAGATGGATATCTGGATTCAATTAAAGCCACTGTCTGCTTGTCAAAGTGCAGGCTCAGGGACTACTCTCAGCAATACAACAGAAAGAATTCACACACATTCATGTGCCTGGCAGGGACTCAGACAGTAAAATCTGGGCTCTGCAGCACCCTTAGGGAGAGAGGCTGAGGGATAGGGTAGAAGGCAGAAGGGATCCTCAGAGTTGGGGGCTGCTAGAGCTTCTGCTAGTGTCCTTAGGCCCAAATTGTCTGAGGTCCTGAAACTGGGCTCTCCTGATCATTTTAATCCCAGTGGAGGTGGCAGGTACCCCCAGGATGAAGATAAAGACAAGGAGCAAACCCAGCCTGAGCTCACAGAACTGAAACACAGAGAAATCTTGCCCATTCACCCACCTCCCCAAGCAAGTAGTGGAGCTGCAACCCCCTGGAGGTACCTTTGATGTGAGCACTGTCCAGCATGGGTACCAAGGCATCCACCTGCTCCAGGAGCGCAACCTGAGAGAGGATAAACTGCTCCTCTAAAGCAAAAACAGACAAGACAGTAGCAGTGAAGCAAGCCTGGGCATTGCTATTCAGCCCATGTAAGGGACTGAGGACCTGGCAGGGGAGATAGCTGGGTTCTGGAGCTTTGGCAGCAACTCTGCCCACTGCCCCCGTTTCTAGGTGCAAATTTCCTATCCTGCCCCTACCTGTCCTGGATGCCTCTGGTCTGACCCATCTTGAGCCTAAGGAGCTTCTCAAATTCTCCAAATCCCATCCCCAAGTTTTAACTTCTAGCCTCCTTTCAACAAAGTCAGTAAGTACCTCCTAGGCCACAAGAGACAAAGTACTTCCCATGCCAAAGGGCCCCCAGGAAGGTCTGAAAGAGAAGACGTGTGGCAGACTATGCCAGGCATGTTCTACTCAGTGGCTCTCAGATGCACAGACAATTACAAGCTGGAGGAGAGCTGGGACAGTAATGGGAGAATCCAGTCAAGAGAGTAGGATCTACGCTTGGCTCTATATGCAAAGGAAATTTCAATGCATGGAAATCCATAGAGTGGGAAGGGCATTCAGGAAGGAAACTATTATGTGAAAATGCCTGGAGGCAGGAATGCTTATCAATTAGCAGAGGAGAAAGAATTCAATTAGCTGAACTAGAGCAAGGAGAGCACAAGAAACAAAGCTGGATGAGAGGCTTTGAATGGCAGACTAAGGAATTAGGACTTTATCCTAGCAAGGAGAGGAAACACTGAGGTTCCAAAGTAGGCAAAGTGGCAGGTTGGAAGTGTGTTTTTGTGGAGACTGGACCACAAGCAGTAAGGAAAAGATTATGGTCAAGAAGGTGATTCAGGAGACTGTGCAACTGTTCATGTGCAAGTAGATACACACTCTTTGAGGCAGTGCCAGGGGAGGAATAGAAAGGCTGGACTCAAGTCGGTTCAAGGGAAGATCTAAACTTGGTGCTTGAGCCCTGGCAGTTGATCAAGAGCCCTTTGGGAGCTTGGACAGCCCTCTCAGCAGGAGCTGCCCATCCTTACCCAGTCCTCAGTGCTGCACTGTACTGATCAGTCTCCTGGGACTGATCTCCCAGCTGAGTTACAAACTCAGATCCCTGAAGCAGGGACTCTGTCTCCTCTATCTCTGGTTGTGCCCATGAGGTCAGGGACTTTGTGGTTCACCACTGTATACCTTTAACCTTGGATAGAGCCTGGATCACAGTAGATGATCATTAAACATCTTTGGGATGAAAAACGAAGCTCAGAAAACCCTAGCTTATGGAATGGCTGACTGATTGATTAGTAGACAAGGCAATAGTTACTGCCTAGAACTCTGAAATCCCAGAGCTTTCTTACATGAAAGAAAGATGTTGAAACTCATGCCAATACTCTCCCTTCTCTCTAATGG